TTTTTTTTTTTTTTTTTTTTTTAGGTCACTCTCTCTATTCACTCTTTTACTTAATATTTTTTTTCTTTTTCATTCATACTGGATAATATCTACTGATCTAACATCAAAGTTTACTGACTCTTTCCTCTGTCATCTCCATTCTGCTGTCAAATCCATCCAGTGAGTCTTATACTTCAGTGATTGTATTTTCTAGTCTAAAGTTTGCACTTGGTTCTTTATGTCTTACATTTGTTTGCTGAGACTTTCTATTTAAATATTTATTGCAAGAATATTTGTGATTTTTCAAAACATTTTTATAATAGCTGCTTTCAAGTCTTTAAGAGATAATTCCTACATCACTATCACCTCAGTGTTGGCATCTGTTGATTACCATTTTCCATTCAAGTTGAAATTTTTGTGGTTCTTCATATGCCAAGTAATTCTGAAATGCACCCTGGGTATTTTGAATATTATGTTAAGAGATATTGGGTCTTGTTTGTATTCTATGGAGAATGTTTTCATTTTAGCAGACAATCTGCCTAGCTAAATTCAGGTTGAAATTTCGAAAGTGGGTTGTGTTTCCCATGTCCACTGAATGTTCAGACCCTTTATAATACTCTTCAGATCTTTCCTATATGTGTGCTACCCAGCAGTCAGTATGGGGCCTATGTGGTGGTCTACCAGTTAATTCAGTTCTCAGTTATGCTAATTAGGATCAGATCCATGCAAACATCGCTCAAAAGCAGATTTACAAACAACTTTATGAAGTTGCTTTATCACACTCCTCCTTTTATGTGATTTCCTGGACACTGCCCCTTTTGGTCTTCCTGCCAGGAACTTGGAACTCTAGTCACTTCTCTTTAGTGCTCTTTCAAGATTGAGCCTCTGTTTGTACAGAATGTTTAGTAACCAGGCTTCCATTTTTAAGCCAAAATCATTATCATCATTAGCAGCAACAGCAGCAGCAAGAGTTCTAACAAACAGAATAAACTGTCTGGGAGGAAACAATAGTTAAGATTGGTATCCCAGAGCCAGATACCTGAAATCTTACATTTAGTGGTCCCTGAGAAAAACGGCAGGCTTTCAACCCACTCACCCTAAAATGAAGCTTCCGTTGACAAGGCAAGACCACAAATAATGAATTATTACTCATCTTTTTATGGCTTTGTTTTTAAAAGAGTATGAAGAAGATAAAAAATAAGTAAACATAAAACATGACCACAGAGGAAACAGATAACTGAAAAAAGAACAGAAGAAAATTTAACATTTCAATATTATATCAATAAATCAAGAACAGGATACTATGAAATGGGAAGAACCAGTAAACAAGGAAAAACCCTCTTGGAACTTAAAAGTATAAAATTGCTAAAATTAAAACTTCAGTGAATGGGTTGGAAGATAAAATCAAGAATATGCCTGAGAAATTAGAACAACAAAAAAGAGACAGAAAATATGAGTGAAAAGGGTCACTGTGGTCAACCTAGACCTTTAATATCTAATAGTCCTAGAGAGAGAAAGGGGAAACAGAAAGAGGAATTATCAAAGAACAGAGAAAAGGATATGACACATCTGTCCTACTAACTTATGGGGAGAAGGAGGGAGAGAATCATGGGAGAGGAAGCTGTTGAAGTATCTCATGCTGGGGCTTCAAGTCCATGAGAGAGGAGTGCACTGACTAAGTGAAGGTGAACACTCACCACGACTAGAAGGACTACTGCCCTGATTCCCAAAACCAGCACAAGACCAGGAAGCCTCCTTTCCCTGTAAGCATACCTTTGTTTATGTCATCTCCCCAACACTTCAGATGCCATCTTAGAGTCAAACATGGGGGAAAGGGAAGTAACTGAAAGAATGAGAAATTATCCCCCAAAGACTGATTTAAACTTGAAGAAACTTTAAGTTATGAGTTTGGATTGAATTATAAATAATATTTTCTCTTCCCAGGTACTGGGTAGGTTATGGATTGTTTTATCTGAGGATACAAAAACAAAAACAACAACAAAACACCAAAAAACCAATAGCAGAGAATTTCCCAGAGCTGAAGGACAGGTGCTATCTGATTGAAAGCATCCAACAATTTGAATCATAGAATAACCACACTCTAGCTGTATCACAGAACATTTCACAGCCTCGAGAATAGAAAAATTCCAAAAACCTATTAGAGAAAGAAAAACAATTCCCCGCAAAAGAACAAGAATTGGACTGATAAAAGACTTCAGCAGCAGCACTAGATGTTTAGAAACAATGAAATGATTGATACCTTTAAAGTTCTGAGAGGGAAAATGTCGATTTAGAATTCTTTATCCATTAAGGTTATTAATAAAGAATAAAAAAAGTTTCAAACAAGTATGGACTCAGAAGGCTTAGTTCAAACGCATACCTTTCTGAGGAAGTTACTAGAGGGTCTTTAACAGCAAAATGACAGAGTAGACCAAGAAAGGTCCCATGAAATCCAGACAACAATGGATCCAACTCAGGAGGATAATGAAGGAAAGTCCCAGTATGTCAGCTGAACCCAGATTAGGGTAGGAAGATGAAGAGTTTCAGAGTGCAATCCTAGAAAATTGGGGAATCCAAAGAATTTTATATTACTCCTAAGAATCTGGAACTCAGGAAGGTGATAAAGGCAGAAAAATAAGGGAGAAAATCCATTTCAAAACCCCATGAAAAAGAAAAAAGCTATACAAGAATGGAAATTGAATCAATGTATACCACTTTATACTGCTTGGTTGTACATGGAATAATATTTACATAATTATAATACAGACACTTTACTTTCTACTCTTAGAATCAACTAGTAGACAAAGCACAGAAAATGCAATTATTGTTACAACACAGAACAAAAATATTTGCAACTGTGAAAATATAAAGGTTTATGGTAAAATTGCAAGTAACAGTAGGGAGCCAAAAGATACTGTCTATTGTCTGTTGTTGATAGAATAAATAAGAGGGCAAACTTTACTTAAGATTAGAAAAGTAACCAACAAAAGAATTAAAAGTAGTAATTAAAGTACCCCGGGGAAATGAAGATGGGGCAGTGTAAGTGAACTAAACCTTCATTTGTGAGAGCAAGATAACATAATAATAATAAAAGAGATAATATCTAAAATTAGTAAATCAAGAAGGAGTATCAAAAGCATATTATTTAGAGATATCAAAGTAAACATCAGAACTAAAAACAAAATTGGGAGAAAGAAGTGGCTCCTTCCGAGGACTGAGACTATTTATTATAAGTTCTTCTGTACTCTTAATTTTATGCATGTGCATCTATTACTTTGATGAAAATTTTAGAAATTAAAGTTTCTTGACGAAGCAACACTTTTATGTAGTTCAATATTCCAAAGCTACATAAAGGATACAATGCAGTCTTCACATCCCCTACTTGCTCTGGTGTTTTCCCTCCATACAGTCTAAGTATTTATAAGCATGTACACTGGTATGTACATGTATTTATTTCCCTTCCATATTTTTACATGAATGGTAGCATGCTATATATAATATTCTTATACCTCACCTTTTATATTTAACAAATGTATCTTGGAGGTTTCTGTATTACTAATGAGCTTTCTCATATTTTTTAACATATTAATTCATTATTTGGATGCATCATACTTTATTTAATCAGTCTGTACTGACAGACATATGTTTCTTCCAATTTGTTGCTATTTCAAACAATGCTACAATGCTACAATAATAAATTAACAATTATTATAAGAAAAAAATTTAAGACACTCTTTGCTTCTGTTTCCCAATTAGATAATGAACTTGGCTTTCATCTTTGCATCCTCAGTGTCTATCTTGATGCTTAGCATATAGTAGATATTAAATTAAGACTTTCTAATTTAGGTTGAATTGAATTTAAATGAGGAAACTAACCTATGCAAGCATTTGAATGAGATATCATAATTCTAAAATCAAGTTTATGGCACAGCAAAGGCAATATTCTATACAAATATATAGTACTCTGCACACTCAGCCTTTGTTTTACCACTCACCAGAAAAAGGAAAAGTGGCAGTGCACCTCAGTTTAGAATAATTGCAAGACAGGAGATGTGGGACAGGGCCATGATGATGTAATTGCAATTAAAAGACTGCTTGTATGAGCAGAGCTTTCTAGGTTTCCAGTACCCAAGATGCTAAAGAGATTCTAACCCCTCAAAGAGATGTTAATGGGAATAAGTAGACTATAGAATTCTTAGTGTCTTCCCAGTGAGAGAAATAAAATGAAACAAAACAATCAATTTCCTGGACTAGCGATTAACCCGCTAATACATACATACATCTCTGTCATACTTACTCTGAGCTCTTTTGGGCCTGAATGGATTGAAAGCAAGTGTAGAGTACCCGGCCAGTCTACAAAATATAAATAAATAAAAAAGAAAGAAAGAAAAATCACACAGAGAAGGATTAATTTTGAAAAGGGTATAGTAATTTAGTAGACTCTAACCTGAAACTCAAAGATCACTCTGAAAGTGGAAGGTTAAAAGAGATCACAAAGATGGAATATGCCATAAATCAGTTTCTGTAAGAAGTATCATATAACTAACTCAGCATGAAATGGCCACAATCAAACATCTGCTCACGCGACAGCAGAGAACTGCTCACAACATGAGACCAAGAAACTAAGAACTAAAGTATTCAAACTGCTTTGTTGGACGCTGGCAAACTTATTCAACAACGATTTATAATGATAACAAATAAATTTATAATGACAAAACCAAAAGCATTTCAAATGAAGTATAAAGGTCAAAATACTGAACCTCAATGTTTGTGGGAAAGTGTTTTTTTTATGAAGAATATTCATTGTTAATATAGAGTCTGAGAATATAACTAATGTACTAAATGATAGGACATACTTGATATTCTTGGCAGAATTCACGCCTACAATGTTAAAAAGTAATTTTCTTTTTGTTTGAGTTGACACATAGCAAAATCTCCTGACATGAACATAAAATTCCAACAGAAGCACTCTAAATAGAGAACGGCAAGACTAGCCACTGATTGAGCTGCTTAATATCTCTAAGCTTCAGTTTGCTCATCCATAAAGTATGGATAATAATAATCCCCATAGGTTTGTGGTCGGGGTTAGAGCATATTTATGTAAAACACAATAATTAAGTGCCATGTGCCTCCACTCTCACTGCTGTGGTCAAACCTCCACCATTTCTTGCTAAATTACTGTAATATCTTCCTAACTGCTTTCATGGGTGCCATGAATTCCATACCTCCTCTCTCCCCACACTCCTAATCCCACCCCCTATCCAATTTATTATCAATACAGTAACCAGAAATTTCCCATTAAAACATAAAATCATCCTCTAGTGCAGCGATTTTCAACCGGTGTGCTGCAAGAATTTTTAAAACATGCAATACCTGACTAGTCAGGGGCACTGACCTCTTTTCCCTTAGATGTCAAATTTAAAAATGACAACAGCCAACAACAATAGCCGTCCAGTGTGAATGAATCAAAATGATACCAATTTTTTGTCAGATCGGCAAAAAATGCAATATATTTTTTGGTGTGCCGCAGAATTTTAGTAATTAGTTTATGTGCCATGAGGTGAAAAGGGTTGAAAATCGCTTCTCTAGTGGCTTTTCAATTCAGAGTCAAAGTCAAGGCTTACAAGATCTGGCCCCTGTTATCTTTCAGACCTCACTGTAGGATGACTAAATGAGTTATCATCCAAACCAGGATACTTCCAAGAAGTGAATTAACTGAACAGGAGACTGGGATATTGGGGTAAAACTGGGGCTGACAGAGGCAAACTGCAACATATGGTCACAGTCTTCCTTACTCTGCTGTAGCCACACTGACTTCCTTGATGTCCCTTGAACATGGCACACTCACCTCAGGGTCTTTGCACTGGCTATTTCCTCTGCCTGGAATGCTGTTCCCCCAAGAAATCCACAAGACTTGCTCCCTCACTTTCTTCAGGTCCTGACTCAATGACCTTTCTCATTGAAACCTTCCCTGGCCACCCTATTGAAATTGCAAAAAGATTTTTCTCTATTCTGTGTGCAATCACACACACACACACACGTACACATGTGCACACACACACAATACCTTTGTGTTTTTATCTTCAATGAAACAGGAAAAAATAAGTCCTACAAAGCCTTGATCCATCATCTGGTACATGGCTTGTGTGCGAACATCTGTAAATAAAAATAAAAATCTGCTATCAATAAACTGTATCTTATAGACATTAAGATTTAAATATAAAAGTGGTATACAATCCTCCTAGGATTCAGATTCTATAGGCAGAAAAGGGATATATCCTCAGGACAATATGATTGTCAAAGTATAAATATTTTACTAGGTTAGAGAAATACTATGGGAGGTATGCAATTAAATTAGAAAACTTTTAATAAACTCTAGGCTACCTAGCCCAAAACTAGCCCTCCTATGAAACACAACATTGAAAGTAAAATGGAAAACTTGAATTAGCCCCCCAAAATTGATAACTGCTTCCAGGGGAATAAAAGAGAAAGGAAGGCACTGGAAGGAGATAAAAAGATTTCCTAGCCCTAGCCAGCTTTGCTCAGTAGTTAAAGTGTCAGCCTGTGGAATGAAGGGTCCCGGGTTCAGTTCTGGCCAAGGGCACGTACCTCAATTGCAGGTTCAATCCAGGCCCAGTTGGGACACATACAGGAGGCAACCAATCGATGTGTCTCTCTCACATCAGTGTTTCCCTCCCTCTCCCTCTCTCTCTCTTCCACTCTCTCTGAAAAACAATGGAAAAAATATCCTTGGGTAAGGATTAAAAAAATAAAAAATAAAAAGATTTCCTAGAATAAACTTTTTGATGCACAGCTTCTACGGAAATGATACTAAAGAACTGAAATATAAAACTATTATAGAGGAAATTATAGAGAAAACCACTGTATAGAAGTGACTGCAATAGGATTAAATTCAAAATCCCAAGAAGTAGAAACAAAATTTCACTACATGCTTATGCAATTTTTGAAAAGGAAATCATAAACAGGCACCAAATAACAACATTGGCAGAGGCAAAATTCAAGATCTGAAGTCTTCAGACCATCATTTATATAGATACAAAAGATCAGGTATTGTAACAAAACACCACAGTGCGACGTTTGGTCCAATGACTTGTGCCCATTTCATTTGGCAGTATGTTCTTAAACATTCTTTGCACTTATACTTTTTGATCTGGATTAGGAACTCTCCTGGATGCCTTCCTAAGAGTGAGACCAAACAGTACTGAGCAATGAATATGAAGGAAATACTGGCTGAAACTGCTGTTACTGACAATAGCGTTGTATAAATGGTCTCTGTACTGCTCTATGACATTGGTAAAAAAGTTTAATACCTCTAAGCCTATTTCCTCACCATCTCTACTCTCACAGGGTTTTGTATTTTAAAAATTACAAGATTTTTTTAGCACAATGCCTAGCACATCAAAGGTACTTCATAAGCATTCTTTCCATTCCATTTCATCCACAACCATCGTTGAAGAATCGCTATCTGAGTCTGAAAAGGATTACTGTCCATACCATCACACCCAAATTGCTTTTGTCAAGATAACCATTTATCTACTCTTGGTCCTCAATTTACCCGATTGCTCACTCCTTGAAACTGTCTTCACTTGGCCTCACACTCCCATTCTTCCCATCTGTCCTCAATTTCCTGGCTGATCTTTTCCAATCTTGCTGGGTCCTTTCCATCTTCCCACTCCCGAAATACTGGTATACCAAGGGCTGTCTTCTGTCCTTTCCTCTTCTCTAGCTACACTCACACCCTGGGGGATTTCATCCAGTTCCATGGCTTCATACCTCATCTCTACACTAGCTGCTCCCAACTCCCACCCAATAAACTCTAGTCCCAGACTTCTGCCCCAGACTCCAGAATCGTATATCCAATTGTCTGACACTTTGACTTGGTTGTCTGAATACAGTACTACTCAGAGTAGCAGGTCCATGAACTATTTGTTACCTCTTCACAAGGAGACAAGAGCTTGAGCTGGCATGCAAATTTATGAACTGCTTCCTTCATTGATTAAGTCTTAAGGAAAAAAAATAACACGATGTGCTTAGTGTTATAGATGATTTATGTTCAGTAGTTCCTTATCTCACTGATCACAGATAGTTCACAAACCAAAACCAGTCTATGTGAATATCACTTGCCTAACAGACATTTGAAACTAACATATCCTAAACCAAACACTAGATTTCCCTCACAAAACCTAATACTTCCCACTGCTTCCCCATCTCAGTCAGCAACTCCATCCTTCCAGGCAATCAAGCTAAGAAACTTGAGCACATTTTTTATTCCTCTCTTTCTCTCATACCCTGCACCCAATTCATCAGCAAATCCTTTCAGTTCTACCTTCCAAACACAACCAGAATTAGATCACTTCTTACCACCACCTCAACCACTATGACCCAACAAAGCCACTATCACCTCTATCTTGGATAACTGCAGCGGCCTGTTATCACCCAATATCCAGTGATCCTTTTAAAAGTTAGGCCAGATCATGTCATGCTTCTTCTGAAAACTCTGCAATGGCTCCCAATCTCACTGAAGAGTAAAAGTTAGAATCCACAGTGGCCTACAATGACCTACATATCTCCTGGTGCACCCATTAACTCCCTGCCCTCATTTCTATCACTCTCCTTCATCAATCGGCTCCAGGTACACTGGCCTCAATTTTCCTCATGCACTCCAGGTGCACTCCAACTCAGGGACTTTGCACCGGCTGTTCCTCTCTGCCTGGAACACTCTTCCCACAGATATTTGCATGGCTAACTCCCTCACTTCCTTCAGGTTTTTCTCAACTGCTATCTTCTCCATGAGACCTAATCATATCACTTAAAATGTAAACCTCACCCCCAACCCACAGGCACTTTCTATGCCCCTCACCCTGCTTTACTTTCTTTCCCTCCGGTAACTTAATTATTTCTAAGTGACCTCCTAAATGCCAAATCCATAAGATATGGTTTAGTTTAAAATAGTGCCATCCAACAGAACGTTCTGTGACTGCTGTCCAGTTTTTCTTTCAGCATTAAAACATCATTATTTCATCTATTGACTACCATATGAACTAGTTTGCTTGAATTTAGGGGCCACATTATATGAAAAATATTTGTTTGTAATCACTAGGGGCACATTCTGAGAGGAGATATTCACATTTATGAGAAAACAACGAAACCGTCTGAAGGGACTACAGAATCACACCTCCCATTTCCTGGTGTGAAAGTAGAATAGTGTAAACACAGTATTTTTTCATTTACTCTTGACTAAAAATTTTCCTAAAACAGAAACTACAGCACAGTTGGTAATAAAGAATTTTAAAAGAATGGGAGACAATATACACAAGTGCTTTAAAAACACAAGCCCTGAGATAGCCATTATATTAGAGTAGAATTTTAGTTTAGTCTTCACTTATTCTATACCTTGTCCTAATAAAGTTTCCATCTAAGTCTGTTTGCTAAGAAAGGCATTACAAATGTATTATATTTTAAAATGTGTTTATAATGATTCTAAGGAGTATTGACTAGTAACCTCTAGAACAGAATGCTTGTTTTGGTAAAATGTAACTTGTTAAAGTTATTGGTTGTAGAAAACTGCTTAATTAAAGGTGCAGCCTATATTTGTCATAGGAGGCTGGTCTGATCCACCAACTCTGGTGGTAAATTAACTCACTATATCACTGATGATAGCAGTGCCAATTATTTTGCTCTGTATGAAAGAACTGAGCAGGTCTTAATATTAGGAACACAGCTACAGGCACATTTCTCCTTTTACTATGCACTTATTATGACAATAAATATAAGAGTAACTTGAAAACAGTACCAAGTCTCATGAGATTTATGAAACAGCCTGCACCATTTGAATCACTGCCCTCTTTTGCAAACCACATATAGGTAAAATTTGGGTAAGTTGATTATGTAGGTATAACTCAGCTCTTTCTGTATCACCAAACTATGCTTCCTCCATTTCCTATTTCCATAAATAGCATTCCCTCCTCAACTACTACCATGATCCAACAAAGCCACTGTTACTTTTATCTTGGATCAAAGCAAGATGCTGTAAAATGCTTAGGCCCCTGATCCATACAAACCTCAGTTCAGATACAGATTTTGCCACTTACTTAGCTGTCTAGTTTTGGACAACGTATTTCACCTTTGAGCCTCAGCTTAGTTTCTTCCCTTAGTCACACACTCTTCATGATTACTTGGGAAGTGTTTCAAGTAGAGAGTAGTTGTAGCGTCAGATGCTGCACAAGACGGAGACTTAAAACGTTCACTAGATTTTCAACATGGATGTCACAGAAGACTTTAGCAAGATCCACTTCAACAGTGATGGGCTAGAAGCCAGACTAGAGTGGAATGAGGAGTGTGGGTGAGTGGTGAGAGAGTGTAAGTGTGGATATCTCTTTGAGTCTGGCTATGAAGGTGAGGGAAAAGGAATTGTGCACCCGAAGGGGAGGTGGGACTGGGAAAAGTTTTCTGTTTTTTCTTCAACACGTGAGGTATGAGCATGTTTGAAAGCTTTATCCCCAGCACCTTGAAAAGGGCCAGACACACAGTAGTCACTCAAACTTATTTGTTGAAGGAACAAATAAATTATGGGTAGAACACAGTACAGCAGAAAGGGGATACAGATGTAGGAGACAGAAGCATAATGAGGGGTGTAAGGTTCTTGGGAACACGGGAGGCAGGAGCTGAGAGGAGTGGATGGAGGGGTGGTAGCTAGGAGCCAGGACACATTTTCTGCTGTAACGAGGGGACAAAGGACAATGTGGGCATAGTAAGCAGGTGAGTAAGGAAAAATGGAGAAAATCCCTTTCTAATTATTCCTGTTTCCTCTGTTAAAGTAGGAAGGGTATTATCTGCTGAAAGGGGAAGAGGAAGTGGGGAGTGCAAAGCTTCGGGAATGAGAACAAGTCCAGATGGAGACAAATGGCATGAGACTAAATGATCTGAGACTGGATCCCGGACTGGAAGGGAAAAATTGCTATAAAGGACAAAACTGGGATAAATGGCAAAATTTGAATAAATTTGGTAGATTACATAGGATTATATCAACGTCAAATGTCCTGATTTAATATCTGCACTGTGGTTATGGAATTGAGCACCCTTGTTCTTGAGAAATAAGTCACTTTCAAATAGTGGGTGTTCTGAGGGATACACAGAGAAAAATGATGAAGCAAATTTGGCAAAAGGTTAACAATTGTTGAATCTCGTTCTTTATGCTATCTTAGCAATTTTTCTGCAAGTCTGATTTTCTTTAAAAATTAAGTTTTAAAGTCTTAGTGTGTGTGCTTGACCTACATCACCCTTGCCTCTGGAAACCCTAACCCAAAGCCAAAACCCTCACTTTATACTTGAAGGAATGAAGTTTCCTTTCTATCCCTTTCATGGAAAACTCTGTCCTTTGTATACTTTATTGCTATGGTGGGTAACATAGTTTAACATTGTTAGTTTCATTATTTACTGTGCCTTTTATTACAGAATGACCTATCTTCTCTCACCCTTTTGCTAATGACGGAACTGCTACCTTTATTTTCTTCATTAGTTTAACCTAGCCTATTATTTTTTGTTCAAGTCTTTAGGTTTATAGCTTGTCTTTAATGACATATTATTGTGTTTATTTCTTAATCCTGAGGCTTTTATTTTCATAGCTATTTACCCTGTTTAAATTTCCTTGTACAAATGTTCTATTTCTTTTTTTTATTAAAAAAATTATTAAGGTTGACATGATTGCAGGAGTCACCCTTCCCCTCCCCACCTTTGCTCACCTCCACACTCCCCGCCAACCCTTTCCTTGGCCTTTACCAAATTATTGTCCATGTCCATGGGGTATGCATATATGTTCCTTAGCTATTTCCTTCAACTTCTTTATCCAGTCACCGCCACGCCCCTCCCCTTGGGCGCCAGTCAGTCTGTTCCATGTATTCATGCTTCCGGTTCCATTTTGTTCTTCAGTTTATTTTGTTCTTTAGATTCCACATATGAGTGAGATCATATGATATTTGTCTTTCTCTGCCTGGCTTATTTCGCTTAGCATAATACTCTTCAGGTCCATCCATGCAGTGGCAAAAAGGTAAGAGATCCTTCTGTTTTACAGCTGCATAGTATTCCATGGTGTAAATGTTCCACAGCTTTTTTATCTGCTCATCTACTGATGGGCACTTGGGCTGTTTTGTTTATTACTGTCACTGTTTTCCCCTTAGTACTTTTTTTTTCTTCCCTACAAAATCACAAGGTCTAAGACAGCAGAAACCATGATTGTATTATTCCATAAAGGTATCCGATAAATTTGTTGAATAATCATTTATGTAATAATCCTTTTAAAATATGTTTAGAGCACTGTCTTATTTAACCCACTGGAATTCAACCTAATTCTACTAATTACCTTGTCATAAAAAGCATTAAAAATTTTTGTTACACACACACAGTCACATCCCTCTCCCTCCCTACCTTTATTTTATTTTTATTTTATTTTATTTTAGTTGTTGTTGTTAATCTTCACCCAAGGATATTTTTCCCACTGATTTTTAGAGAGCATGGAAGGGAGGAGAAAGGGGGAGAGAGAGACAAAGAGAAACATCGATGTGAGAGAGACACATGGATTGGTTGCCTCCTGCTCCCACCCTGATCAGGGCTGGCAACTGAACCTGCAACCCAGGTACATACCCTGGACCGGGAATCAAACCTGCAACCCTTCCATGAGCGGGCCAACGCTCTAACCACTGAGCCATGCCATCCAGGGCTCTACCTTTTCTTTAATGGAAAAAATTTTCAGTCCTTCTCACTTGCATTCTTTAACAGAGCTTGGAATTAGTTTCCTATGAAACATACTTACTGTACATACTTTGTCAACTTGTTTTTATTCATCACTCATTTTACTTCCAAGGCTTGCTAATACAGGGCCCATTTGACTCAGTTCTTGAACCGTTGTTTGGAGATGAGTTATATCTTTGCATCTACAAAATCCCATAGGCTCTGGAAGTCTACAACAATCTATTTGTTGTGAATACCAGCTTAGTTGGGAGATTATTTTTTTAGTTATACCCATAGTTTTATTACCACAAATATTTTGAGATCTCAGTTGAGACCTGATCTGTTCTTACTGTTAATCCTTCAAATGTTGTCTTTCCTTCAACTTTAGGTATTTGTTTTCTCTCTCTTTTTCTCTCCTCAAGAGAATTTTTTAAATATGTTTTTAGTGATTTTAGAGAGAGGGGAAAGGAGAGGGAGAGAAAGGGAAACATCAGTGTAGGAGAGGAACATCTATTGGTTGTCTCCTGCATGCCCTGACAGGGGACTGAACCCACAACCTGGACACGAGCCCTGACTGGAAATCGAACCAGTGACCTTGAGGTGCATGGGACGACGCTCAACCCACTAAGCCACACTGGCCAGGGCTGTCCTCAAAGAGTTTTATAAATAAATGCTGTGGTATCTATCTTTGATATTGCAATAAGCATGGAACAAAATGCCATATACATGATTTCATATATTGCTCCTAACAACTCTGAGACCAACAGTATGTTCTCCACTTCTGTCAGAGAGGAAAGTACAGCAGAGAGAGGTTGGAAGGTCTTCTCAACTAGTAAGTGACTGAAACGAGATTCTAACACAGACCTGTTTCCTAACAGAATCCAAGGCAAGTGTTCCCAACCCTCATGATTGATAACTGTGAACTTTCTATTTGTAGTTTAAAAAATTAACACTATTAGAAGTGTCTTTGAGCATAGCCTTTATTACAGTTTCTGTTATTCCTTTTGCTTACCCAGTTAAGAATTATTGTTTCCAGGTAAAATCTCAATGTTCCAGTCTCCCAATCTGTTGTTGAATTATTTTCATGTGGCTCCTTAATCATTTCATAATTTAGAGCTGATTTTGTTCAGTTACACTCTGCAGTACCCTTGTTTTCCTAACTGCTCTTACTGCTGCACTGCAAATGCTTCCCCAGGTTCTTGTTTAACGGCTTGGATCTTCTGCCCCTGGGAGGAAAATTCAATCACTCTGAATTATGAACACTTTTTGGGTGTTCAACTTCAGAGACTGATAATGATTTTTTTACCTAAGTTCTTAGGGAGATTCTTTTCTTACCACAAAATTTTATCTTTTCCATTCTAACTCATTACCATAGTGACAGTAATTGTTCAGAAATATACGCTCCAATAATTGTTCAGGAATATACACTCCACTTTCATTGTGGCTGGTCCTTATTTCTTTCTGGCTGATGGCACTATCATGGGAGAAATTTGATGCCAATCTGATTTTAGTGTTGATGGTGGCAGAAAAACAACAGCTGTGATTATTGAGTCAAAGTGAGGTACAAACACTGAATTTATTCAGTGATATTAAAGTTTTACAGGAATACATTTGTAGCTATAAAAACAACCTTTATTGGGACATTAGTGAGCCAAGTGGAGAATCTGAATAAGGTCAGTAATTTAAATAACAGTATTTTATCAATGTTAATTTGTCAATTTTCATAAATGCACTGTAGTTGTATAAGAGAATATCTTTGTGTTTAGGAAAGTCACACCAAAGAGTACTTAGGAATAGAGGAGGACAGTGTCTACAACTTACTTTCAAATACTTCAGGGAAAACACTGTACTCAGATGAACACATCCACATATACACACGTATATAGCAGGAAGAGAGTAACACAGCAAGTGTAAAATGTTAACGTTCAGCAAATCTAGGGAAAGAGTATTCAGGAATTCTTTGTACTATTTTATCAACTTTAGAGGGGTTAGGAGGTAGGTTGAGAGCCCCAACAGCTAGGATGGAGTGTGTGTTAAACAGAGATTGTAAACATCAGTTTTGTAAATTTTACTCTTCATACCAATGGGAGCGCGCTGGACAGTGGTATTCAGCAATCAGCAATTTTCAGTTACATTTTTTTTTTTTGGTCTTTTTACATCAGCCAATTGTAAGGCTTTAGTTAATCTTGATTTCCTAAACAGTCAAAATGGAGTGCTGAAATTTTATCTCTATTAAAAACAATTAATACGACATAAATCATTACTTTTAAAACATAGCACAAAAATAAGGACACCTGTTTAAGGATAGTTAAAATTTGCTTTAAAACAACCATAGCCCATGTAATGTAAAAGGAAAATCATATTCATTTCTAAGAACAATAAACACTGCAACCCCATACTTACCAACATGTGAAGGCCAAACAGTTATATGAGGATGGGAATGATACCAGCCCACCACTCTCATGGGGCGACCTGTTAATTCAGCCAACCTGTGTGTCTGTCAAGGTATTTTCAACTTGTGGAAACAAAAACCTGTGATGCTGATAAGGGCTCAGAAAGTATCCTGAGATTTAAAACAAACCATTTACAATTTACTATCAATAAAAAAATGAAATAAGATTTATGCCCAGAATTTCCCAGACTTCCCATTTAAAAACAAAGGTGTTTCTTTTTTAAAATGAAATCCACTCCATTCCCATTATTGTATATAGTTACATCCTCCCAATTCAATTTAGCCAATGTTTGATCACTTAAATACTTTTACTCTGATATCTGAAAAACTTTTCTAAATCTTTGGAAGTGACTTACATTATTAACTTGCATACTCTTTTATCCTCTCTCTAGCTCCATCCTACTCCCATTTTTGAAAAAGAAATACAAGATTTTAAAAATTCACTTGATTTCTCTCTGGCAGGCTGCCAATGTCAACAATAGCAACTAGAGTGGTTTCAGAGACCAAATAAATCTACTTCAGTCTCCCATTAGTCTAGAAATATTCCCAAATGAATCTTTTCCTCCTTTTTTCTGGAAGTAAAATTTTCCCATGATTCTGAGGCTCTAACTTGAGATGAGAACTCAACTCAGAGATAAGAAGTTGTCCCCTTCCATTGCTGCTCACTGAGAATTGCTGCTAACATGTAAAATGCTGGTTCACTTCCCTGCAAATTACATTAAAACACAATAATCTTTTTATACAACTAAGTCTAAGAAAGAATACTTTGAAAGTTATTTTTTATTTTCAATTGCCAAGAAAAATTACTTAACTGCTCTAAGCCCATTTCTTCAGCTGCAGACTGGGGGAAGTCCAGCTCACACAGCAGAGAAGAGTACATGAGGCAATCCAAGCAAGCAGTATCTTGCCTGACACCAAGTAAGTGCTTAACAGACACTAATTGTCATGTCAGTACATTAACATGCAACACTGTGTCCAGCCATCCATCTCCCATTTTGAGAATGGACTAGTTTTAGTTTGAAGTTATAATATGTAATCATAACAAACATCTTTTATACAATTATTTCCTGGGAATTTTATTTTGGCAAAGTTTGTTTGTTTGTTTGTTTGTTTAAATGCTAATGAACGGGCTTTCTGCTTCTGGCTAAAATGGAATAATAGGGACTGGATTTGTCTCCTGCCTCAGACAAGCAAACAAACTCGATTAAATGAAACAGGAAGGCCAGTAAATGGGACACAAACAAGGTGAGCCCTTGAGAGAACTTCCAGGCCACAGAGCAGGAAGGGGAATTGAGGTGGAGTTCAGCCAGCTCCCTGTGTTCAGGAGATGGATCGGACAGTCCATTAGCTAGAGTTGGCAGGGTAGAGAACTGGAGAGAAGTGAGCAGAAAGAAAAACCCAGAATATCCAGAGGATCCCGCTGGAGTATTCCACAGATCACTGATGAGCATAAGCGTGTGAGGAAATGACGTGAGGCCAGAGGAAGGACCACCAGAGAGGATAAACAGTAACGATGCTCAGCATTCAAGCAGGACTGGGACCAGTGGCTGTCCCCACTGGCAGAACAATGCAGGAGGCATTGGGTAGGGTGCTCAGAAGGGTCTTGCCTCAGTAGTGTGGGAAAAATATGACTCCTACACTGAACGGGCCCATGCAACAAATCTTCAAAGCAAGACTCCAAAGCAGAGGTGGGGAACCTTTTTTCTGACAAGGGACATTTGGATATTTATAACATCATTCTTGGGCCACACAAAATTATCAGCTTAAAAATTAGCTCCTAGGTTTATGGAATTTCTAGTCCTGCCTGGGGTTGCCTTGGCAGGGCCAGACCAAATGATTTCACAGGTCATATATGGCCTGTGGGCCGGAAGTTCCCCACCCCTGCTCTAAAGGATCCAACTATTCTGGGTAACTTAACAGCATCCACAACAAGCTCAAAAATTATGTCTAGGAATAACTACAAAGATATCCAACACCCAAGGGAAGATTATAATATGTGGCATGTGACCTAAAATTGCCAGGTATGCAGAGAAACAAGAAAATAAAATCCTTAATGAGGAGATGGAAAACAGATTAGTGGTGACGAAGGTAGGAATGGGGGAGGGGCAGAGTGAAAAAAGTCAATCTTAAAAGGTCACATACTACATGATTTCATTTATCAAACATTCTTGAAATGACAATATTATACAGAGAGAGAGCAGATCAGTGGCTTCCAGGGGTTGGGGTAGGTGTAGTTGTACAGGAGGAGCATGAAGCAGATCTTTATGATGATGGAATTGTTCTACATCTTGACTGCTATGGTGCTTACATATATCTATACATGTGACAAAATGGCATAGAACAACACGCGTTGTATCAATGTCAATTTCTTGGTTTCCATATTGTACTGTAAATTATGTAAAATGTAGCCTTCAGGGGAAACTGGGTGGAGGGTTACAGGGACCTTTCTATACTATCTCCACAACTTCCAATGAATTATTTCAAAATAAAGAGTTTTTAAAAAGGTACTTACCATAAAAACATATTGCTACATCTGATTATATAAAAGTACAGAAACAACTTGTACAAAAACACATACACCATGAGTAAGCTGAGAAAAATCATTATCCTTATCACAAAGGACTAGTTTGATTTATATACAGAGTGCCTATAAATTAAGAAGAAGATTACTAATTAAATAGAAAAATGGACAAAGGAAATAACCAGATAATTCAGAGAAAAATACAAATGACCCTTAAAAATTAAAAACTGATAAAATTTACTCATAATAAAAAATGCTAATTAAATGACAAGAAATAAAATATAAATACAGATTGGCAACAATCAAAGACTGATCTACCAGGGCCTGGTAGCACAAAAACAAAACTATGATGACACACAATGTTTGTGAGTGTGCAGGGAAACAAGCACTCTTGCACATTGCTGGAGGGTAAACTGGTAAAACAGTATAGCAACAAGTACATAGAGCCTTTGTTCCAGCAATTTCACCTCTACGAATTGGTCCTACAGATACGTGCACTCATTTGTGAAATGTAGTATATGTTAAATACATCTTAAAAAGAAAATATTTATGTTTCTGCATTCACAGAATTCATCTGTAAAGATACATGAAAACCTGATAACCCTAGTTATGTCCAGGGACAGACCGTGGGGAAATTGGGGCACAAAGGTTAGAGAAAAATACTTATTTTGTGTACCTTTTATGCCTTTTAAAGTTTATGCCATGCATATGTAATACTTATTTTTTAAAAGTTACTTTTTGATTACAAGATTAACTTAATCCAAAAGACCAATAAATTACTAAAACTACTGTTGCAAATTTAACTTGCTATAGCTGAGGTATGGAGTACAGATCATAGGAAGCAAATGCAGTTCTCAGCACTGCATTTTTTTTTTGAGAGGCAGCCTCAATAACGAATCTTTCCAAATGATAGAGTCCAAGAGAGTAAAAAGCCTAGAAGTTAAATGATACCAGGAAAACTGGGGAAGGGGGGCAGAGGGGACTGAAGAAGGGTGGTGGGGAGGAGGAAGAAGGGACTCCCCGCACAGTTTGTTGCCATAGGATTTGACCAGGAATATCAGAAATTTCTAACTCTTCAATAAAAGCCACTCAAAAGGAGAACTGGACAAAAATTCTGATTAACCAAACAATTGGATCTAAGGGTTAAACATGAGTCACCAGGAAGAAAACCTGTGAAATCTCCTAAAGCAGGCTAAGGTAACAAACAGAGGAACCTGGCCTAAAAGCCCCAGAGCACATAAAAGCTTCTTATCAACCAATAAGGATATCTCTGCCTCCGTTGAGGCTGCAGATAGCTGCTCTGGAGAAATTTCCACTCGATCCTTCCTCTTATCCGAACGTCGCAAGATGATGACAGAATGAATGTGAACAATTCTGATGGTGTCAACCTAAAGGAAAATCCACAGAAATGTTTACTTCTGTCTGTATCCAATAATATCTCTCCCTGCAATTATAGAATTGCATTGTATTACATTATCAGGTTAAAGATTCCATTTTAGAAACCTTAATTTTTCTCATGAATAATGGAATGTTTCAGATAAAAGACATTCAACCTCAACATATACATTTCAAAACAAAAATACTAAAGCTAATATTTAGATCAAGGAAGGACTTCTTGAATAATCAACTAATAATCATTTGATCCACAACTATGTACAAGACACTGTCACACAAAAGAATACAAGTCAGAGTGCTGAAAATTCAAGTGCTTAAAATGGTAACAGTCTGGTTAAGTGGCAAATATCACACATGAAATTACACTAAAATAATATAGTAAATTAAGGCTACAGAAGCTCAAAGGAAAGGAGTCACTTATATTTAAAAAAATCTTCATAGAAAAGGCAGATGAGTGTATTTCCTGACTGCTGTGTGTGTGTGTGTGTGTGTGTGTGTGTGTGTGTGTGTGTGTGTGTGTGTAAAGATAGAATTTCTGTAGATGCCAAATGGATGTGAGTGATATGTTTGGGAGACAAGTAGGCCAATTGATTTAAAGAGAAAACTTCAGATGGAATGACAGATAATAAGGCTGAGAAAAGTTAAAGCAAAAATGTGCAGGACCTCAAATGCCAAGCCATGATCTGTAGGATGAACTGGTTGGAAGGAAAATACTTCAGATAGCCTAAACATGAAGTAAAGTACTGGACTAACTGGATAGCAGAGATGGAAGAAACAGATTTCAGATTCATTAAGAAGGAAGAATCCAAAAGATTTGGTAGCTTATAGACCACGGGTGACAGAAGACAGGAAATTGTTAAGGATGACTCTAAAGTTTCAAGGTTGAAATAGTGAAACACGGAGGCAGGTCTAAGTTTAGCAAGGATCAGGAAGGAAGGAAGATAAGCATGTTTTCAGATGAGCTAATCTGGGATGAGAGGATCTTAATAAAGGCAAGGAATAGTGTGGAGAGAGGACGCAGAGGTCCAGGCCTAAATCGAGGGGGAGTACCAACACTTTGGATGGGGTACAATAAGAGGATCCAGGAAGGAAGACAGACGAGTCCAAACGAGAACAATGAAATGGTTCAAAAGTTTCAGGGGGGAAGGGGTATGGCATTGCCAGATGTCACAGGGACATGGGTAAAACCTGAGAGGAGATTTTTGGAGTAAGCTATAGACCTACACAGTGCAATACAGCAGCCATTACGTACATGTGACTGGCTGTGGAGCTTGAAATGCTGTCCCCTTTATACCTTTTTCTATCTGGTGAACTCTTTCATAGCCTTTAAATTCCCTATGATGAGACTTTAAATGCTCATCTTATAAAGAATTAATCATTCTCCCCTGCTATGTAACGTTTTTTAATAATACAAATACACATCTTTGCTAGAGCTTATATCATATTGTGTTCTCTTTGTTGACATAATTTCCTTTTCCACTAGAATGTAAGATCTTAAGGGCAGGGAACATGTTTTAGTTATGTTTTTACCCCAGTGATAGCAGGCACAGAGTACACAATCTAGAAAATCAAAAGCAGAGACAGAAAGATACTTGACTTTCCAAGGAGCAACAAGAAAAGAGCTGACTTTTCATTGTAGTTTTTTTTTTTTTTATTGTAGTTTTGATTTGCACTTCCTAATAGCTAGTGAAGTAGAGCACCTTTTCATATATCTGTTGGCCATTTGTATGTCTTCTTGTGAGAAATGTCTGTTCAGGTCCTCTGCAAATTTTGTAATTGGATTTTTTTTTTTTTTTTGGTGTTAAGTTGGATGAGTTCTTCATATATTTTGAATATTAACCCCTTGTTAGAGCTGTTGTATGCAAATATCTTCTCCCATTTGTTTGGTGGCCTTTTTGTTTGGTTGGGGGTTTCTTTTGCTGTGCAAAAGCTTTTTAGTTTGATACAGGCCCATTCATTTATTTTTGCCTTTATTTCCCTTCCCTTTGGGGTCAAATTCATAAAATTCTCTCTAAGACCAAAGTCCAGAAGTTGAGTACCTATATTATCTTCTATGTAATTTATTGTTTCAGGTCTTATATTTTGGTCTTTGATCCATTCTGAGTTTATTTTTGTATATGAGGACAAAAAGTAGTCTAGTTTCATTCTTTTGCATGTGGCTTTCCAAATTACCCAGCCCCATTTATTAAAGAGGCTTTCTTTTCTCCATTGTACCACCTCACACTTTTTAGAATGGCTACTATCAACAAGACATGTAATAACAAGGGTTGGAGAGGTTTTAGAGAAAAAGGAACCCTCACTCACTGCTGGTGGGAATGTAAACTGATACAGCCACTACAGAAGACAGTATGGATGTTCCTCAAAAAATTAAGAATACAGTTACCATATGACCCAGCAACCCCTCTTCTAGGTATCTACCTGAAAATTTTGAAAACATTTATTTGCAAAGATACATGAACCCCTATGTTCATTAATAGCATTATTCACAGTGGCCAAGACATGGAAATAACCAAAGTGTCCCTCAAACGATGATTGGATAAAGATGTGGTACATATATACAATGGAATACTACCCAGCCATAAAAATGATGAAATACTGCCCTTTATAACAACATTGATGGATCTTGAGAATATCATGCTAAGCAAAATAAGTCAGAAAAACTAAAGAACCATATAATTTCACTCATATGTAGGTTATAAAACTGAAAGCAAGAAATGAACAAACAAGAGAAACAAAAACCGCACAGACACTAAAAACAGTATGGTGGTTACCAAATGGAAGGGGTGTAGGGATAGTAAAGGGTAAAAGGAGTAAAAAAATATGGTGACAGAAGACCTGACTTTGGGTGGTGGGCACACAATGCAGTATATAGATGATGTATCATAGAAATGTACACTTGAAAACTATTTAATTGTATTAACCAATGTGACCCCAATAAATTTAATTTTTAAAAATCAAAAAAAAAGAGAGATTAAAGAGGGCGATGGACTGAGTGGAAGCTACACAGACACTTTCCCAGGACCAAACTGGAAATACAACTAAACTATAGAAAAACCATCCTGAATAATCAATAGCAACTGAAGATGAGCTGCTCATAACCAAGGAGGAAAAGTAGAGACCACATAGAGACTGGTAGGAAGTATGGAGGCATGAGGGGGCTGGCTGGGCTCCCACAGGCAGCAGCGGAAGATCCAGAGGGATATCTCAGTTATGGAGGGTTCCCACTGAGGACTCTGGGGCCTAAACCCCAGGCTGGGCTTCCCAGCCAAGAGCACCAGAACTGAAAAAGGTGGCCACATAACATCTGGCTGTGAAAAGCAGCCAGATTTCTCTCTGCCAGGGAAAGATGGCTGGAAATGCAGCCATCCTCTTAAAGAGCCAACACACAAAGTTTTGTGTGAAGCCATTCATTTGGGCTCCAGCAGAGGGAGGGCAGAGTGGACTGGAGCCCTGTGAAGAGAATCTGGATTTGTGGGCTGTGGAGATACAGCTCAGAGGGCACCCCTCTGGATTCCTCTGCTGAGTCATTCAGCCATACTGCAGAGGCAGACATTTACCTTCCAAGCAGCTTTTGCCTGAGGGGGAAACAATCGCCCCACCCTGCTGGAAATTCTTTCACACTACCCAGTGGAGTTTCCACCACCTGAGGCACATAAAGAGAATCAGATTAATGAGCCTACAGGCACACGCAGACTTCAGAGTACTTTGAGTCTTTCCCTGATCTTCTGGACCCAGGACTTAGAAAAGCAGACGTTGGTGTGCATCTTAGTCTTCTCCAAACACACAAAGCCTCAACAGAGGGGACCTCAAGCCATGGGCTGTTGATAGCTCCAAAGAGGGTACTCAAGGCCAGTCACAAACAATGTCTGACATTGGCCTGCACCAGNATGTACACTTGAAAACTATTTAATTGTATTAACCAATGTGACCCCAATAAATTTAATTTTTAAAAATCAAAAAAAAAGAGAGATTAAAGAGGGCGATGGACTGAGTGGAAGCTACACAGACACTTTCCCAGGACCAAACTGGAAATACAACTAAACTATAGAAAAACCATCCTGAATAATCAATAGCAACTGAAGATGAGCTGCTCATAACCAAGGAGGAAAAGTAGAGACCACATAGAGACTGGTAGGAAGTATGGAGGCATGAGGGGGCTGGCTGGGCTCCCACAGGCAGCAGCGGAAGATCCAGAGGGATATCTCAGTTATGGAGGGTTCCCACTGAGGACTCTGGGGCCTAAACCCCAGGCTGGGCTTCCCAGCCAAGAGCACCAGAACTGAAAAAGGTGGCCACATAACATCTGGCTGTGAAAAGCAGCCAGATTTCTCTCTGCCAGGGAAAGATGGCTGGAAATGCAGCCATCCTCTTAAAGAGCCAACACACAAAGTTTTGTGTGAAGCCATTCATTTGGGCTCCAGCAGAGGGAGGGCAGAGTGGACTGGAGCCCTGTGAAGAGAATCTGGATTTGTGGGCTGTGGAGATACAGCTCAGAGGGCACCCCTCTGGATTCCTCTGCTGAGTCATTCAGCCATACTGCAGAGGCAGACATTTACCTTCCAAGCAGCTTTTGCCTGAGGGGGAAACAATCGCCCCACCCTGCTGGAAATTCTTTCACACTACCCAGTGGAGTTTCCACCACCTGAGGCACATAAAGAGAATCAGATTAATGAGCCTACAGGCACACGCAGACTTCAGAGTACTTTGAGTCTTTCCCTGATCTTCTGGACCCAGGACTTAGAAAAGCAGACGTTGGTGTGCATCTTAGTCTTCTCCAAACACACAAAGCCTCAACAGAGGGGACCTCAAGCCATGGGCTGTTGATAGCTCCAAAGAGGGTACTCAAGGCCAGTCACAAACAATGTCTGACATTGGCCTGCACCAGAGACCATCCAAAAAGACTGAGAGGCCTAGGATATCTACCCACACATAGAAGCAAACCCAAATAGGTAGCCAAAACGGGGAAACAAAAAAGCCCCAAATGAAAGAACAA